ATGCTCTCCACTTACCTACTTGCACAGTTCATCTACTTCCTTTGGGTCTCTACTCGAATGTCTCTCTGTTCCGGAAAGCTCTTTTGATTATCATATATAAAGATAGTGACCCTTCTTTCCCCCAACCCAGCATGCCCATCCCTCCTCCTTTGGTTCTTAGTCCCCAGAACTTAGCACCATCTGACACCGATGCACTGGTTTAGTAGGGTTTAGTAGCTGACCATCTGCCCCCTCACCCCACCTCCACTCACTCCCCTCCATGGGGGAGGGGGTCTTATTCGGTTCAAGGCCAGTCTCCAGCACCTACAATGCCTGCCACCCAGTCGGTGCTCAGTGAGTATTTGTTCTCCTCCACAAATTAACCTAGAAATGCAATGCAGTCCCAGTCAAAGTCCCAAGCAGATATTCTCTGAGATGCTACGAGCCCATGAAAAGATTCCCATGCTACCTATTAGAGGTGCTGGTTGCATAACATTATGAGTGTGCTTAAATGCCATGGAATTGTTCACTTTAAAAATGATTAGTTTTCTGTTACATGAATTTCACGTCAATAAAAAAATGGCTCCATGTAATACCATTGCACACCTATGAGAATGGCTAAAATTTAAAAGGTTGCCCATAGCAAGTGAAGGGACAAGAATAAATACACTGCTGGGGGAGGGAAAGTAAGAGTCTACCCACATTGTAAGGCATTTTGGTGTTTCTTCAAAATTAAATATATAGGGGCGCCTGGCTGGTTCAGTGGGTAGAGCATGCAAATCTTGATCTCAGCGTTGTGAGTTCAAGCCCCATGTTGGGCATGGAGCCTACTTTTTAAAAATTAAATTAAATTAAGTTAAATTAAATTATATACCTACCATGTGATGCAACCACCCCATTCCTGGGGTACTTAACCAAAAGAAATAAGAGCACACGAACAAACCTAGACCTAAATGTTCATAGCAGGTTTATTTGTAATAATAAAAAAATTGGAAAGGAGGAGTGCCCAGGTGGCTCAGTCAGTTAAGCGGCTGCCTTTGGCCCAGGTCATGATCTCAGGGTCCTGGGATCAAGCCCCACGTCAGGCTCCCTGCTTCTCCCTCTCCCTGCTACTCCCCCTGCTTGTGCTCAGTCTGTCAAATAAATAAATAAAATCTTAAAAAAAAAATTCTTCCAGCAGGTTCTTAAAAAAAAAAATTGGAAAGGACACAAATATCCATCAACAGGGGAACTAGGTACATAAGTGTGGGACAGCCATGCAACGGAATACGGCTTAGTAATAAAAATGAGTTAACTTTTAGTACATGCAACAATATGTACAGATCTTAAAATAAATATGTCAGATAAAAAACGCCAGATAAAACAGGCTACCTACTATATGAGTCTAGACATGCAACTAAGGGGCACCTGGCTGGCTCAGTTGGAAGAGCATGCAACTCTTGATCTCGGGGTCGAGATTTCGAGCCCCACATTGGGTATAGAGATTATTTAAATAAAAATAGAAATGCAATGAATCTATAGTGTCAGAAGCCAATCATTCGTTGCCTGGGTCATGGAGGGGGGTAATAAAAAGGGGCACAAGGAAACATTGGGGGAAGACCCTTGAAAACTTGATGCTCAGTGAAAGAAGCCAGGCATCAAAAGGCCACCTATGGTAGGATTGCATCCATATGGAATATCCTGAACAAGCAAATCCACAGAAACAGAAAATGGGTTATTAGGAGCCGGGGCTAGGGGGAGGGAGATGCAGAGTGAGTGCTAATGGGGGCAGTTTCCTTTGGGGGCATGGCAAGGTCTTAGAACTAGGTGCACAACACTGTGAGTGTACTAAATGCCAAGGAGTTGTCCACTTGAAACTGATAATGTGAATTTTTCCTCAATTAAAAAAAAGAATGGCAAGAGTTACAGACACACACACACACACACCCCCTCCATCCTGCTTCCCATCCTCACCTGCAGCCCTGCCCCACCCCCTCCCAGCCACCTGCCCTGGCCCACGCCTCCTCCTCCTAGGCTCCCCAAACACCCTCCCCACTTTAAACCTTGGACCATCCCCACAGTTTCTTGGAAGTGATTCACTGCACGGGACAGCAGAGTGAGCCCCACTCTGGGGAACAAAGGCAGCTGAAACCCCAGCATGCTCAGAGCAACAGACATTTGTCCCTGTGCTTGTCCCAGCGTGCAGATGACAGAGATGTCCCCGAGAGCAAAGCCATGAGCCCACAATAGTCAGCTGGCTCAAGGGGACAGGGAGCTCCCCACCCCTGCCTGCCCCGTCCCCAGCTCATGCCCTCTGCCCCCTTCGCGGAAGCTGGTCTGCAAGGATGGCACCGCGATCCGGGTCCTCCCGGGGTTCACGCCCTTGTGTGGTCCCCACGCATCTGGGCTGACCTGGGACTCCACGGAAGCAACAGAATCCATCAGAAGTGACGCTGGCCTGGTTCCAGGATCCAGCTGGAGGAGATCTGGTGGTCTCCTCTCTGCACTCTGAGGAGCCCTGAGTCGCCACGAGAGAAGGCCGTCCTGCTCAGGGGGCCACAGAGAGAGGGAGTGGCCCCGCTGCCGGCCATCCCGAGGCACCAGACATAACAGAGAAATTCTAGATGCTGACGTCCAAGTCGCCCCCAGAGGACACCGTTCGATACACGGAACAGAAGAGCACCCATGACAGCGAACCCGTGGGGGAGGTTTGCTCCACTGAGTCCACGTGATGCCCACGGAGAAGCCAGACCTCTGCTTAGGTGGCATGTGACAAGTGGCCTCCTACCCCCCTCCCTCGCCCTCTGACCCACTGACGCTGACCCTGCCTGAGCAAAAGGGAGAAAAACATAAATACAAGAAAATCCTACCCTGTGGTAGGACTCCTTCCCGTCAGCGGGAAGAAGCCCATGTTCTCCGTCCGCCTCAGTATACTTGGCTGAGCGGATGCCGAGGGAAGGCCTTATACCCCAGGAGATGGGACCCCTATGGTCGCTGCAGCCCACCCCCCAAGCCTTCACTCCCGCTGCCCCCCACCCGCGCTGCCTGACAGAGCGCTCAGCCCCCCACATGCTGCCCAAGGCCCAGACTCCAAAACCTACCTCAACCACCTTCCCCACACTGGGAGGTAGGTGGGGCTCCAAAGCCAAACCTTACCGCCCCCAGGAAACCCTCCCTGGTGCACATGCTCACTCTTCCCCTCCCCGGCATCTCATCGTCAGGGGCCAGCTTCCTGCCTGCCAGATGTGGGAGTCCCAAGACCCTACATGGGATCCTGGGTGCTCTCCCAGCAGTGGGCTGCATGGACCCGGCCGGGGACAGACACCCAGTTCAGCTTCAGGGATGTCAGGAAGGTCCCGTCCTGGCAAAGGAGGCTACAGGGGGCCCTGGCCACACCATTTGGAAATGAGGAAAATGAGGATTAGATAAGAGCCTTGCCCTCAACACCCAGCAATCAGGGTGCGTATGATCTAGATTTTCTGTATTCCTGATGCTCTGGCATCCAGGGCCTCGCTGACCAGGAGGGACTGTCCCTCATGGAGCTAGCCAGTTCCCAGAGACAGCAAACAGCTCACCAGTGGAGTGCACATTTCACGTGTAAACCAATCCTTCCAGAGCCCACACCCGGAGCCAGGATCCCGCTGCCCTGATCACCCGGGCCCCACTGCCAGACAGCTGGGGAGAGTGCACTGTCAGCTCCTGACATCAAGCTCTGACTGCCAACGTCCCTCCAGAATAAACATTATCGCCAGCAGTAAGACCCAGCTCTGAGCAACACCGCTAGATAAGGAATTCGGCTGCCCCGCCCCTGAAGCTCCCTCTTTCCGAAAGCCCTGGGTGGCCTAGATACTTGACTGCCCAAGTGACCCCACTTCTCCCTCCCCACCCCAATTCCTCTTCTTATGCTTTAAATTCACCAGTGAAGGGGCGCCTGGGGGGCTCAGTCGGTGAAGCATCTCCCTTTGGCTCAGGTCATGGTCCCAGGGTCCTGGGATCGAGCCCCGCATCGGGCTCCCTGCTCGGGGGGGGGGAGGGGCAAGTCTGCTTCTCCCTCTGCCTCTCCCCCCCGCTCCTGCTCTCTCTCAAATAAATAAATAAAATCTTTAAAAAAATAAATTCACCAGTAAAAAGTGAACCCACAAAACCCTGGACACTCCACCCTGGGACCCTAACAAAGGCAAAGCCCTAGGTCTACACTGCCTCTCTTTACCTGTGATCTCGCTGTGTGGCCCGCGTGGGTGCCATGTGCCCTCTTGTGAGGACTTGTGAGTCATCACCCTCGTTCCTCGAAGTTCCCAGATAGTCTTTGCTGAAATGCGTCCAGTGGTAAGAACCACAAGGGCCGGCCCAGCCACAACATTGGCTGCAGATGGTTAAGGTCTCTGGGGGGCTGGCCACGCAGAGCACAGACCCAGGCGGATGCCCCAGGCATCCCTAGCCAGTGGCATCACTGTCAACAAGCTGGTACCTATGGGACAGATAGCACTGCCCCCAGAGCCCGCTGGGATTATTCAAATCAGCCAATCCCAAGCCCACTTACCCTGCCTCACCTGTTCCTTCCCACGGGAACCACAATAAAGGTTCTTGCCCACATTCTCCTCCCTCTGCCTCCTGACCCTGGTGCTTCCTTCCCCTGTGTGGCAGAGTGTGCACCCCCTGCCCCACCGTCTTTTGGGAACTGTGAGTCTTTTCAACGGCAGCCCACACCTGCACAATAATCAAGCCTACATTTTAAAACTGGGTGGAGCCCAGACCAACCCTCAGATGCCCAGCTTACATCTCAAAGAGGAAGAAGCCTTGATGGATGGTGGCCCCCCAGGACTCCAGGGGGCCCTGCCCAAGTTCTCTCTTCTGCACAGGAGCCGGCGGGTAATGCAGACCACCCCGCTGCCCCAGGAAGCCAGAGGCAGAGTGGCCAAGGGAGCGCCCAGGGCTGGGTCCCTGAGTCCTACTCTCTCGGGACACGTCCACCACGGAGGAGGGGCTGGAATGGAGACCCCTGGCTGCCCGGGCAGAGGGAGACAGAGCCCCAGAGGCAGGCAGACGATGTGAAGTGACTTTAATCAGCACCTTCAGATGGGGGCAGCAGGAGTGTCTATGTGTGGGGCCGCCCCTGGGAGCACCCTGGGTCAGCCCCTCAGTTCCAGATGTGACATACTCCCCACCCAGGCTCCCTGAATCCAGGGGGAGGGTCCCGGCACCCCCACCTCTCCAGGGCCAGCTCAGGAGCTCAGGTCCGGGTGCTGCCCGGCCAGAAGGACCCACGTCTGAGGGCTGGTATGCCAGCAGCTGCAGGGGTACATGTCCTCATAGCTGCCCCTGCTCAGGGACCAGCTGTGGTGGCAAGAGCTCGTCCTCAGAGCAGCGAGGTCCTCCTGTCGGACAGCAGCAGGGACTCCTTCACGACCATAAGCAGCCCCAGCGGGCGCAGGCACCCCAGAGCAGAGAGCCGGAACAGCACGAACAGGGAGATGGCAGCCACACTGGCACTGAGCACCACTGCGGAACACAGACAGGCAGGAGTCAGCCACACAGAGAAGGGGCGTCTGCAGCCTGTGCCCTCCCCAGGCCCCAGGAGTGGGAGGGCCTGGTCATCTTACCCGCAGCCGCGATAACCCCATAAGCCCTCCGGTTTCCAGACTGAACGGAATCCTGGTCCCCAACGGGGCTCGTTGTAGCATTCCTGAGAGAGGGGACACTGTGCGGGGTCACAGGGGTCCCCGTGGACGTGGCAGTCCCTTGCTGGAGGGTCTCAGTTCCTGCAATAAGTCCAGGCATTCAGCAGCTGGGGAGTGGCCACTGGGGGGGGGGTCGGACACGAACAGGTGTTCCAAATGCCTGGGGGGCCTTGGGGCTCATCTTCCACTGCCCCCACAGGGATGCAGGCACGGGAGGATGCAAGCATCCACACCCTCAGCCTGGTCACCCACCGGAAGGTGTCAGGTGTCCTTATCTAACGCCCAGCCCCACCCCTCCAGGCAGGCAGAGGTCCCATGACACACACCACAGCCAAGCTCGTCACTGGAGGCGGGACAGTCAGGATGGCCATCGCAGAGCCAGGTGCGTGGGATGCAGGCACCGCCTAGCGGGCAGCGGAGCTCCCCCGCCGGGCAGGGCTGGGAACTGCAGTTGTGAACATTCTCCACGATGCCATCTGGGCAGTCATCGACGTTGTCACAAGTGCAGGGGCTGCCAGTGGGTGGCTGGCACTCTCCGTCCTGGGCACAAGGCTTGATTCCTGGGGTACAAGGTCAGTCAGGTGCCAAACACCCACCCAACAGTGCTGCAGAACGCCCCTCCACCCGGCCTTCCAGAAATAGGCAACCCTAGAAAATCCACGCATCCTAAAGATTCCCTGTTGTTAGCTCCATCTGCCAAGGACTGGCCTCCCTGAAAGTTCCTCTTCCCAAGGCCCCCCGCTAAGTCCGCTTCCTAGTAAACCCACCTCTTCTTGTAAGCCCTGCCCATCCTCAGGCCCCGCCCCCGCCTGAAGGCCACACCCCTCACACAGCACCTCACCTCCCGCGGCCCCGCCCCCTCAAGCCCCGCCCCGGAGCACGGCTACTCACTGCACTCCTCCTCATCGCTGCCGTCGGGGCAGTCCTTGTCCCTGTCGCAGCGCAGAGTGAGGGGCACGCAGAAGCCACTGGTGCGGCACTGGAAGCTGGTGGGCGGGCACGAGCCTGCAAGATGCACACAAGTGAGGTCTGGGAGGCCCGAGTCGCGCCCCCCGCCCCCCCCCCCCGGGGCACAGTGGTTATAGACCGCGACCACCAGGAGGCAGGCCAGGTCCCAGGGCGCTAAAATGACACTGGTAGCCACCATTTGCTGAGGACCTACTCCGTGTGAGGCTTGGAGGGCAGGTTCTACTGCCATCCCCATGCTGCAGAAGGCACTGAGGAGAGAGGCAAGGCCTCGGGCTGCAGGGCTGGTGGCAGAGCCCAGCTCTGAACCCAGATCTCACTGATCCCAGAGTCTTTACCAGGCTCCAGGCCAGATGGTCTCCCCCAGAGGCTCTCCAAAATCCACGGTTAAACAGACTGGGGTAGGGGCCATCTCTGAACCTGACCTGGACCGGGCCCATGGTCTGGGTCAGCAGGGCCCGTTATAGCCCCCCTGCTTAGCCAATGGGAAACAGAGGCCCTGGGCAGAGGACCTGCTTAGTTACCAAGGGTTGTCCACTCACCTCCTAAATTCCTTCCAGATCCGACCACTTTCCCCATCCTGAATGCGCCATCTCACCAGGCCCCGTCCCCATCTCCATTTGGACACTGGGGACCTCACTGAGTCACATCATTCAGTCACCTGCCCTTGCCCTCCCCTCTGCTCAAAACCATGCCCCAGTCCCCTGACCCTTTCACACCAAATCCCTATTTTGTCTATGTGGCTGTGAACACTTCCTGGACCTCACCTCCTCCCTCCTTCTTCCTCTTCATCCAGCTCCCTATGTCCTGGACTCCTCGCTGTTCTCCAAGAGGCCCGGCTCATTTCCACCTCCGGGACTTTGCCCGTGCTGATCGCTGGCCCAGTGCCTCCTCTCTTCCCCCCACTCTGCAACTGGTGATTCCTCCTCAGCCTTCAGATCTCAGCTTCTTTCTTGGAAAGGATCTCATGCACCTCTCAGAGATGCCTGAAGCTCTGCCTTCCACTTACAACAATGGTCCTCAAACTGGTATCCACACAGACTGGACACTCAGTGGAGATCAGGGCCAGGACCTCGTGACTGCAAGCCCAGGGCGGTACACATACAAGTCACACAAGGGTCGAGGCTGTGTCCTGATTGAGATCTGAGCCTTCCTGGACCCCAGGTAGTGAGGCTCGGGCTACATGCTGATCTGGAGCACAGAAGGGCCTAGAACGTGGGCCAGCAGGAGGGAGCCTGACAGATTGAGGAAAGGAATGGCCTTTAAGGCTCTCTTCCTGGGCTCAGTGAGGGGGGTACAAATACCTGCTTGGCCCCAACCTAGGGGCACTCCAGTCTTTACTGGTACTCTTGCCACTTCCACCTTCACTCCGAGGGCCTGAGCCTCCAAACCCCCTTCTCTCCATAGCCAGTCCCTCCACAGGCCTCCAGGCCCAATGATACCTGTGGCCCACACGGTCCCTGACCTTTAAAGCCAGGAAGAGCTGTGGCCGGACCTGGAGCTGGCTTCCTTCCCTACCCACGGGGGGCGGGGGGGGGGGGTTTCTGGCAGTCTCTGGGTGCGGCTTCCTCTCCAGGCCTAGCCATTCTCAGCCCTGCCAACCTCCAGACCTCCCTCCCTGGAGTGTGTGTTCTTCCTGGAAAGTGGGAGCAGAGCACAGCAGACCAGGCCTCCTAGGGCTGTGGGGTCAGACAGGCGTTAAAAGTGACCAGTGACTTTCCCTCTCAACCTCAGTTCCCTCCCCTGTAAAAAGAGCACACTAGGAGTCCCTATCTCAGTGTCCTGAGGACAGGAGACCACTTGTTGAATTTGGTACTTGGTTAAAGTGAGTCCTGCCTCCTTAAATGAACCAGGAACATGTGGCCTGTAAAGGCAGGGGCTTTGGGGTGAGGCAGGAGACCACATCAGACAGGAACTCACAGCTGAAAAGGAAGTCACCTGTGCCTACAGGGAGGTCACTCTATCCCACCCAGCCGCCTCTGGGAACCTCAGAGAGGGCCACCAAGATCACTCAGGCCCAGGAGCAGGTGTCCAAGGGCCTGGGGTCACAGGGAGGGAGAGAAACCTTTTGTTCTCTAAGGCCAGAGGAGGAAGGCGCAGGGATGGGGAGGGCGGGGGCTGGTCGCCCAAGAAACTCAGCCATATGGCCTCAGGGTCGGACAAGGGTGTAGTCGGAGCAGCTGCTGCAAGAGGCGCCAGGTGACCAGCCATGCAGTTAGAGGTCGGACAACCAGAGCCTACAACTAGCCTTCCTGCCCACGCTGGGCTGAAGGGCGGCTTGGAGGTGACAAAGAGGTCCGCCAAAGCAGAGCAGGACTGGGGTGTGAGCAGGGAGAGCCACCCAGGCGACGGTCCCCCACTGGAGATGGCTCGCTCACAGTCCGGCACGCCAGAGTCTCCAGCCACATGCCGGGGGAGTGTCCGGGACGAACGAGCGGCACAGCCAATGGCGAGGCGCCGCCAGCGCGCGGGGCGGGACCGGGCCGCCCAAGGGGTGCGCGCGCGGCGTGCGCGGAGCTCACTCACCTGGGGCCTGGGCCAAGAACTGGATCGGGACCGGGGTCGGGGCGGCCTCCAGGCCCAGCCCGAAGCCGAGCAGCAGCCGCAGCGCCAGGCCCAGGGCCGCTGTCCGCCGCACTCCGCCCTGCGCCATGCAGCCACTTGCCGCACCGCCCCCGCCCAGGCCCTGACCACGCGCCGACGGGTCCTCGCTTTTATCCCCGCGCACGCGCGCCGCGGCCGGGGGCGGGGCCCACGCCCCGAGGATCCGCAGCGCCCGCAGCTAAGAGTACCGTAAACGTCCGAATACGAGGGGACCCACAATATGAGGCTCTAACCCACTTTCCCCGGTGACGAGGTATATCGAAAGATGTTGGGCCCATTTGACGTTAGAAACTGTGGGGATGTAAACGAACTCGTCGCTGTCTACTTACAGTATCGACCGTGTTGCATGCATCCTGCAGCAAATGTTACTGATTATCATATTTAATATGGCAGCCACTCCACTCAGGCAGGCTCCAGCCCCTCCCTCCTCCCCGCTTCCCTTGTGCACCCAGCTTTTTCTACCTTACTTGCTTTGACTTAGTGTCTGATGACCCACTAGAAGGTCAACTGCAGGACAGGAATGCTGTGTTGTCCATTGCATCCCCAGTGCCTAGCAGAGCGTCTGCCACAATAGTAGGCTCTTAAATATTTAGTGAATAGGGTGCCTGGGTGGCTCAGTCGGTTAAGCGACTGCCTTCGGCTCAGGTCATGATCCTGGAGTCCCGGGATCGAGTCCCACATCGGGCTCCCTGCTCGGCGGGGAGTCTGCTTCTCCCTCTGACCCTCTTCCCTCTCGTGCTCTCTCTCTCTCATTCTCTCTCTGTCAAATAAATAAACAAAATCTTAAAAAAAAAAATTTAGTGAATAAATGAACGAAACATTTCCAGAAGTTCCTGGCTTCCATCAAGGGTTCTGTCCCTCGCACCTGGATGCACTCACCCACGCCCACTGCCTCCTGCAGTCTTCCTCACAGGTAGGTGGGTATGATTCTTCCGGAACAAGATACGCAAAGGCAGCCAGTGGGCTTTCTCGTCTCATGCTCAACCAATAGGCACATAAAATACAAACCTTCTGCGGGCTTTCTAACCAATCAGAGGCTGTGTTTTCTTGAAAATAAATATTTTATAGATAGCTCTGCCTTCAGAAGCAGCAACGGGTCTGATGGCCAGCAGAACCCCAGACACGTGGCGGTCCCTCAGTGTTAGGTATGCAAGCATTTACCACCCCCGCCCCCCACCCCCGTTTCCTGGGAAACACTAAAGCATCCAGATTTTTCCAAGGGGCTCTGTTTGCAGGTTGCTGGCAAGCTTCACTATTTGAAAATGTTGAGAGTTACAGCTGCTTTTGGACAGTGTATATGTATGTGTGTTGGATTTGTTCTTTCAAAACCTCCCAGATGCCCAGGGGAAATGGGTAAGAGGCTAAGGTGTACAGGTGCAGAGGCAGGTGGAAAGGTAACAAAGAAGACTGTGCACTGCAGGGGTGGGGCGCGTCCCATCTTTGAGGCTCAGAGGTCTCAGGGGTGCAGGGATAAAAGCTGAAGTCATGGATTTGTAGTAGTTAGGCAGACTCATCAGCTGCCGGGTTCAATTTCAGTGAGCCTGAGCGGGTTCTTGTCCTTCCATTCTTGTTTTTCTGCCGAAGGGGTGTGGCACCAGCCATGACCTCACAGGATTGCTCCACAAAGGATTTGAGATCCCGAAAATGTTCAAAACAGTACCGAGCACACAGAGCTCAGTGTCAGACCTCCTTCCCACCCCCACTCCCTTGTGAAATTTCAAGTCTGTGTCCTAAGAACTGTTCAGAAACCTTCAATGGCATATCTTACCTGCAGTCTGTGGAAGCCCTCGGGGCTGCCTTCCTTGTGCCCTCAGACTTCCTCTCCCTCCCAATCTCCTTTCTGAATCTGACTCACCCTTTGCTCCTATTAGAGTCCCATCTCCTCCAGAAAGCCTGCCCTAGGGGCTGCAGCCCAGGGTTTTCTCCCAGATGAGCTTCTAGCATTTATATGGCCCACTCTGGGGCTCCAGGATACATCCTGCCTGGGACTGGGACCCTTTCCTGCCTTGCTCTGCGCTTCCAGAAAGCAGGGCAGTCTCAGCACCCTGATCTTCACACATCTCCTCTGCCTACTGAAGGACTGTGGGGTCCTTCCAGAGGGCAGCCATGACACACCCCCACTTGAGGTCCCTACATGGCTCCCCATTCCTCCTGCGGCCAGACTTGGGTTGCTTTCACTCAACTGCTCATTCCTCCACAAGGTCCAGCCCCTTCCTTTCCTAGGCTGACCCCACCTCGCTCCCCAGGCCCACAGAGAAAGGTTTCTGGCTCGGGCGCCTGGGTGGCTCAGTTGGTTAAGCGACTGCCTTCGGCTCAGGTCATGATCCTGGAGTCCCGGGATCGAGTCCCATATCGGGTTCCCTGCTCGGCAGGGAGTCTGCTTCTCCCTCTGACCCTCCCCCCCCTCATGTGCGCTCTCTCTCTCAAATAAATAAATAAAATCTAAAAAAAAAAAAAAAAGAAAAGAAAGGTTTCTGGCTCAGGGAGGCCTTCCCTCACCTGTCCTAGGTGAGCCTTCCCTGGGAGTTGCCCCGCTGTCCTCGGTCACCCCCACCAAGCTGTAGGGTGCTCACAGTCAGATGGGGGCGGCGGTGGAGGGGTGCTGGCTGGTGTCCTCATGAGCAATGGCAACAGGAGCTCCTGAGAAACCTAAGGGAGCAGCTTGTGTTCAGCCCCGCAGTCCTTCACCATCAGTGCCCCCCCAAACACCCACAGGCCCTGGAACCCAGCGTACTGCTCTCTAGGTTAGCCAGGCCCCCAGGGAAGGGATGGTGACAATGCCAGAGCCCCTGGACCCCATGGCATCAGACTCGTTGCCCAGTGACAGCGTGTCACCCTGAAGCTCACGAACCCCTCCTCCCTCCCCTGCCCCTGGAGTGCTGGCAGAGTGAAGAGACTTCACCAGGAAATCCAGATAAGTCGTACGGGGCTTCAAAAGTCAGAACGGAAGTGATACTGGAGAGCTAGGTGTATTTGTCATAAATTAGGTCGCATTCTCCCCGGAAGGAATACAAGGAGGGGAAGCAGTCAGGTGGCCCTGAGGGCCCAGCCAGGTGCTCCAGGTGGGGCGGGGGCAGAGTCACAGGTAAGGCTGGTCCTTGGACAGTTCCCACCTCTTCATGGGAGGAGCTGGGGACACAGCCTTCTTCCCTGTGGCAGCTGCAGCCGAGCTGGAAGGGAAAAGAGACTTTGCTTAGGGCCAGGTCTCCAGAGAGCAGCGAGGAGGGATCTGAGGGAGCCCACACCTGTGCCCAGCAAGACCACACCTGCCGAGACTCTGGGTCTGTAGGCCAGAGTGAGGGTGTTTCAGAGTGCCCAAACTCCTTCACCGGGGGTCCCCCAAAGGGTCAGGCAACACTTGCTGGGAGCTGGCCAGCCCCCCTCCTGCCCAAGCCCCCATGTGAACCCCCAGTCAGCCTGCCCTGGCTCCTGAGCTCAAAGCCAGCCATAAATAGCTGGGCTCCTCCTCTAGCACCCCTTCCCACTTGTGGCCCCAGGGTGGACGAGCACCCCATTCCTGCTGCCCCGAAACAGGACACTGGCAAAAGAGCCAAGCAATCAGGCGACGTGTGCCCACTGCTCTCTCCTCCCTTGGGTGCTGAGCACTTGCCACGTGGCAGGCGCTGCATGTGCCCCAGCACAGCACTAAGACCAGGCCATAGTCTAATGAGGCTGAGAGTCAAGTGCAATTGAAAAATACACCTTTTGGGGCGCCTGGGTGGTTCAATCGGTTAGGTGTCAGACTCTTGGTTTCAGTTCAGGTCATGATCTCAGGGTCCTGAGACTGAGCCCTGCATCAGGCTCCCCACTGAGCGGAAGTCTGCTTCCCCTCTCTCTCTCCCTCTGCCCCTCCCGCTGCTTGTGTGTGTATGCACATGCAAGCACTCTCTCTCTCTCTCTCAAATAAATAAATCTTAAAAAAAAAAAAAAAAAGAAGAAGAATACACCGTTTGGCCCAGAGTGAGCCCCAAGGAGAGACACTGTGACAACAAATCCAAGGCAGGTGCCTCCTGAGACACCCAAGCCCCTGGTGCCTAGGGCTGGAGAGGCTTGCACACATGGTAAGTCCAAAGGGAGAGGAGGTGGGCGGGCAGGCTCTCATTGTGGAGGATGCTCCCAGGAGCAGGGGTTCCAGGGCCTCCCACCCTCCCAGGAGTCTGAAGGAGGTGGAAGAGGCAGAAGCAGCCTCCCTAGGAAATGCAGGCATCCCAGGGGCAGGTGAGGCGGTCTGGGGGGAACTGGGTAGTGTGCCAATCTGGTGCTGGACTCTGGCGAATTAGAAGGTAACAAGGACCATTCACCGAGTTCAAACTATACAGCAGGCCCTACCTGGCCTCGTCACCTTACAGAGCTTGTCACACTGCAAGCCCACCATCCCCGTTTTACAGATGAAGAAACTGAGGCTCAAGAAAGCCGAAACACTGGCTGCAGACCACACGATGAACTGGCTGTAGAGCCCAGACACCACTGGGGTCTGAGCAAACTGGTTTGAAACCCTGCTTCTGCTCCCCACTAGCTGTGAGACCGGGTTAGGTCACATGGCCTCTCTGTGCTCAATCTCCTCTTCTGCAACAGGGGCCATCACTGCCCAACTTGTGGAGAGATAAGTAACTGGCAGGCATGACACTGACTCCATTCTAAAACCTCACAGATGTTAATTTGAAGATTAACCTTCATAACAACTCTGCTATAGACGGAATGTTTTGTCTCTCCCAGACTCCTATGCTGAAACTGCAACCCCCAACATGATGGTATTTGGAGGTAGAGCACTCGGGAGGTGATTAGGTCCTGAGGGAAGAGCCCTCATGAATGGGATTAGTGCCCTTATAAGAGATCCTAGACACCCCTCAACCCTTCCACCATGTGAGGACATAGCGAGAAAATGCCATCTGTGAACCAAGAGTGCCCTCGCCAGACATGGAATCTGCCAGCACCTTGACTGTGGACTTCCCAGCCTCCAGAACTGTGGGAAATATGTTTGTTGTTTATAAGCCACTGCAGTCTATGATACTGTCATAGCAGCCAAGTGGACTGAGATAAACTCCCTAAAGTAGATACTGTTATCGTCCCCGTTTATTTAAGAGAAGGCACCTGAGGCCAGGGACCAAACCGATTTTAAGGGGCCTGAGATTTATACAATTCTTTCTTTGGGGCGCCTGGCTGGTTCAGTCAGTGGAGCATCTGACTCTTGATTTCAGGGTTGTGAGTTCAAGCCCCATGTTGGGGGGCGCCTGGGTGGCTCAGTCGGTTAAGTGTCTGCCTTCAGTTCAGGTCATGATCCCAGGGTCTTGTGATCAAGTCCTGCATCGGGCTTCCTGCTCCGCGGGGAGCCTGCTTCTCCCTATGCCTCTCTCTCTCATGAAGAAATAAAGAATAAAAATCTTAAAAAAAAAAAAAAAAAAGCCCCATGTTGGGTGTGGAGCCTACTTAAAAAAAAATACAATTCTTTAAGAGTACAAAGAAAATGTGGGCGGTGTGTGTATATATACACATACATAATACACACAGGTAAACACACAGAATGGAATACTTTTCAGCCATAAAATAAAGAAGGAAATCCTCCATTTGCAACAACATGTATGGACCCTGAGAGTACTATGCCAAGTGAAATAAATGAGACAAATACTGTAGGATCTCACTTATGTGTGGAATCTAAAAACAAAACTGGTGATGGTCACCAGAGGCAGGAGACAGGTACGGGGTGGCTGAAATGAGTGAAGGGGGCCAAAAGGTACAAACTTCCAATTATAAAATAAGTAAGTCCCAGGGATGTACTGTACAGCATGAACAATACTCTTGCATATTTGAAAGCTGCTAAGAGAGTAGATCTTAAAGGTTCTCATCACAAGAAAAAAACGTGTAAATCTGTGTGTGGTGACAGGTAAGAAGACTTACTGTGGTGATCATTTCACAATGTACACAAACATCAAATCTTTACATTGTACACTTGAAACTCACATAATGTTATATGTCAATTACATCTCAATTAAAAAAAAAAAAACCCTACAAAAACAACGCCTGGTCTTCTCCCAGAGCGCTTGATGGGAGCCTGGAGCTTCATTTGCTTTGTAGGAAACGCTCCCCTGGCTGAGGCCCCAACCCCTACCCTGGGCTGGGTGGGGATTCAAAGAGCTCTCCCCTGAAAAGCCCCCGAAGCACAGTTCCTGACACAGTTGATGGCTCAGTTAAGTGAGACCTTGAAAAGCACAAGCAAGAGAAAGGGCTCGTTTCAGGCTGTGATGTCCTCACCTCTCTGCAGGCTTGCCTGACGCCAATACCTTCTGTGAGGACATGACGATTGAAGGTGGCAAGGTTTCCCGGCGGCCATCACGGGTGCAGTAGTAGTTGCTGGAGAGCTTGTGGCTGGGGCCCACAGGGAGCTTGGGAGGAGGCTGAGTTCTGAGGGAAAAGAACACCACCTTTGAGGCTAACAGAAAGCCACTTTTTTAAAAAAGATTTTATTTATTTATTTGAGAGAGCACGAGCGTGCTCGCACATACCGGAGGGGAGGGTCTTGGGATCTAGAGTGGGTGGGGGGGGGGGAGGGGGGGGGAGGGGAGGGGAGGGCAGAGGGATGGGGAAAGATTCTCAAGCCGACTCCACCCTGTGCACAGAGCCTGACATGGGGCTTGATCTCCAACCCCAAGATCATGACCTGAGTGGAAACCCAGTCAGATGCTTAACTGAATGAGCCCCCCAGGCGCCCTTAAGAGAAAGTCACTCTGGCTAGGCTAGCCTGGGCCGCCTCAGTCACTGGGCTGCAGGCCAGGGGAATCCCTCGGCACACTGTCGTGGATGTACGGGTAGGAAAGATCCAAGGCCCTGAAGCAGGTAGCAGTCTCTTCTTTGAATGTGAAGGTGCTGGAAGGCAAGGCCTAGATATGCCCCAAATGTATGCAGGACCTTTTCTAAGGCTTCTCAGGGAAGGGGGCAGCCCAGCCTGGACACCCAGCCCTGTTCCCACCCCACCGAGGCCCAAAGCTTGCATCTGGCCCCACTTCCACCTGCAGGAGCCCAGGAAATGAAGAGGCCAGGGTCTGAGGCTCTGCCCACCTCATATCCAGTAGTCACACTGTATAAATGCTTGGGCAACAGCCCCAGACTTAGCTTATTCTGAGGGTCTTTGTTTTCAAAGGCCAGGCTCCAGAATTCCTGGGTTTCTGGTTATCTCAGGAACTCTCTGAAGAACCTTACTGGGATCAAGGCTTATTACTCAAAAAGCACCTTGTCCTCTGAGGTCCCTGCATTTCCTGCCAGGCCGCCAACACTATAGCCGGAGCTGGGCTAGGGGGTGGGGATGGACGAGTGAATAGAGCTCTGTCCTGGGTTGGGCTAAAACCTAGGGTGAATTTACAAAGAAGCCAGAAGCCTAAAATGGAAACACTAACCTCAAAACAATGAAGCCTCCCTGGAAAACACAGAAGAGAGGAAAGGCCGAAAAAATAGAGAAATCATAAAATCATCAGGTTTTCATTCAACCATGTTTTAAAATAATTTGTCTGGTAACTGTTTTGCCAGGACTTAAGTTTTTCTTAAAACAAGTGATAGCCATTGTATAAAAAAATGAGAAATATGAAAATATAAAAATTTAATATTAAAACCAATATCCTGGGGCACCTGGGTGGCTCAGTCGGTTAAGTGTCCCACACTTGGTGTGTGGGACTGCTTGAGATGCTCTTTCTCCTCCCTCTGCCCTGCCCCCAGCTCACATGTGCGCACGCACGCACACTCTCGCTCTCTCTCTAAATAGGTAAATAAATAAAATCTTTAAAGCAAATAAATAGGGGCCCCTGGGTGGCTCAGTCGTTAAGCGTCTGTCTTCAGCTCAGGTCATGATCCCAGGGTTCTGGGATCAACCCCCGCATCAGGCTCCCTGCTCAGAGGGAAGCCTGCTTCTCCCTCTCCACTCCCCCTGCTTGTGTACCTCTCTCGCTGTGTCTCTCTCTGTCAAATAAATAAATAAAGTCTTTAAAGAATAAAATAAATAAATAAAAGCAATATCCTGGGGCCCCTGGCTGGCTCTGTGGAGCATGCGACTCTTGATCTCCGGATTGTGAGTTCAAGCCCCACGTTTGGTGTAGATTACTTAAAAATAAAATCTTAAAAAAAAAAAAAAGGCAATATTCCATGGGGCAATTAGAATTTGCTTAACCCCTGGAGGGCAGATGACCCCCCTGTGGGTGTGGCCATAGCTTTCTGCAACCTAGCAGAAGAATTAAGAATCAGGTGCCCAACAGACACACATGAATCGCACTAGGGGGCGCCACTACCCTAAGGAGGTTAGAAATTTTATAAACGGGTTTCCTCAAGGGGCCCACCAACTACCCTAGATAGAAAGTAACTTCAAACTTCTGATATTTGGAATTAGTTACAACAGGTAGGCATTCATATAAATTTGGTCATTCAAATGCTAGTTGTCTTCCTTTCATGCTAATCCTCAATGGCTGCCTTACCTTTGCCTACTCCTCTGACTTCCAATATAGGGCTATCCCTCCTTTGCTTCATGTGTTCCAGCCACACTAGCCTCCTTCCTACTTCTGGCTCTGTCGGGCCTCGACAGCCTTGGCGTGTACTGTTCCCTCCGTCCAGAATATTCTTTCAATAATTACCCTCTGGCTCCTTATTATTCAGGTGATTCAAACGTCAATCCCAGAAAAAAGACCATTCCTGACCACCTGACCTGAGGAAGCCACCCTCCAGCTTACTCCATTTTGTCTTCAGAGAATTCCAGAATACTTTTTACCTGTTGCGTTTATTTCCCTACTATGTTTCACTCTTCCTAGAACTTGAGCTCCATGAAAGGAATGAGGATAATAACTTTTCTTGTTGTGCTGGCATCCCTGAGGACACAGCAGGGGCTTGGAAATATTAAGTAATCTTTGGACATAAATGAGTTTGGAATCAAGACACTTCTGGGTTCAAATCCCAGCTGTAACTTTTTAGCTTCTGAGTGACTATAAGCAAATGATTGTCTCGCTGAACCTCACATTTTTTACATTTGTAGCTTGGGGTATAACATCAACTGGCAGGACCACACTGAGGACTGAACAGCTACACGATCCCCGCGCTGAATTCCTGTCTAACCTGACTGTTCCACGAGCAGCCGGCTCAGAGTACAGGAAAGTTAAAAGCAAACCTCTGCTTCCACATCCTGCCAGGGACCGGAGGCAAGATTCTGGCCTAGGGCGCCTGGGTGGCTCAGTTGGTTAAGCGACTGCCTTCGGCTCAGGTCATGATCCTGGAGTCCCGGGATCGAGTCCCACATCGGGCTCCCTGCTCAGCAGGGAGTCTGCTTCTCCCTCTGACCCTCCCCCCTCTCATGTGCTCTCTCTCTCTCATTCTCGCTCTCTCAAATAAATAAATAAAAATCTTTAAAAAAAAAAAAGATTTCGGCCTAGCGCAAAGGGGGTCTAACGGAATACGAATTTTGTTCTTGATGTAACAGTAACCGAACAAGGACGGAGTGTGGGCAGCGAGCGGGGCTGGCTCACCGCTTGGAGATCTCCTGGTAGCGCAGCTGCAACTTCGCCTGCAAATCGTGCTGTGGGAGGAGAGGAAGGAGGTCAACCCGCAGGGCACTCCAGGAGAGGAGAGGGCGAGGGAACAGGGGCATCCCAAGGGTGGAGAAGGGAAGGTCGGCGATGGTACAGGGATGGTACAGGGATATGGGCCCTGGAGGTGAAGAGGAAAGCCAGGGCCGGGGCCCCAAGTTACAGGGTTAGGAAAGTCCTGGAGTAGACCAGAATGGGTCCAGGGCTGCGGTGGAAGTGGATGTGTTGGCTGAAGGAGTCACGAGTTGGGGGCCCGGGCTGAGACACGGGTTCCGGCCTAGGGGGCATCTCGGCACTAAAAGCCTCAGGCCCGAGGGTGCAGGAGGAAGGGGATTAGCGGGAGCGGATCCAAGGCGCACGGTGCCCACAGCCCCCCTCCCCGCCTCGTACGGCCCTTTCAGCCCCGCGCACCCCAGATGCCCAGTTCCGCAGCCGCTGGATGAAGCGGGTAGCGGACGCCATCCTCCGTTTGCACTGAAAGACGCTGGTGACTCTACCGCGAGGGCTGCTGGGAAGAACGTTCATGGTCTCGCGAGAGCGGGAGTGGGCGGGGCTAGAATGTAGTATAAAAGTTCTTCTCGGAGCACGTGACCCCTCTCCGCCCGACCGCCGCCGCGCCGCCATCATGGACACGAGCCGTGTGCAGCCTATCAAGTTGGCCAGGGTGAGGTGGGGGTCCTGATTTGGGGGCTGGGATGAAGAGAGATGGCGTGTATGGGGGGGTCGGGCTCCCCAGGTCTGATCCCAGCTTCTCTCCGCCAGGTCACCAAGGTTTTGGGCAGGACCGGCTCGCAAGGACAGTGCACGCAGGTGAGCGCTGGGGGGGTGGCGGGGGGGGACGGGACGCCCCGGGATCTGAGCCCTGTTGACTGCCTGGCCAGCTGGACCCTGAGAACCGGAGTCCCTCTATCCCAGGGCTCCCGGAGTGCCCCGAGACCTCACTAGGGCCCTGCCCACCGAGTCTGAGCTCCGTCGACCTCACTCCCCAGGCTCCGACGTTCCTCTTTCTCGTGGTTTAGCCCGTCCTACGACCTCTTTGTGGCTCCATGCCCTGCCGAGTGTGCACCCCTCCCGAACAGGACCAGAGCTGCAGCTCTCCCTCCTGGTGACTGCTTTTGCCGCTCGAGAACTTTGTTCTCCACGACTTGGCTCTCTCGAGCTTCTTTCCTGGCTCGGCTCTGCCTCCCAAACGGAGTCCCCTTTCTAAGTATCTCTGGACCGGTCCCAACACGTCCTCTGAATCGAAACCTGTTGCCCAGCCTACGGTGCCTATCCGCGGCTGGCCCTAACTCGTTTGCGTCCTTCCGATGGGTCCCGTAGGTGCGCGTGGAGTTCATGGACGACACGAGCCGCTCCATCATTCGCAACGTGAAAGGCCCCGTGCGCGAGGGGGATGTGCTCACCCTGTTGGAGTCAGAGCGAGAAGCTCGGAGGTTGCGCTGAACTTGTGGCTGGTGAGTGCGGGACAGGGGTGGGAATCAGCAGGCCCATTAAACCCTTAGTGGAGGTAGGGAGGCTTTGCCATATCCATGGTTGAGAAGCTCTTGGAGTGGGAAATGTAGACAGAGTCTACGGAGATTTGCGAGTTGGGGGTGGCAGTTTGCCAGTTGCTGGGTGTCTCTTCAGAATCTCATGTTTGGGTCTGTTTACAGGGTCCTGGATGTCTGGGTCGACCACTTGGCTCACAGGGATGATCTGCGATTGTTAATAAAGTGTTTATGTTGTATGTAAACTCGGGATTTCGTCTCGCTGTCACTAGGCTTATAAAATCTTCCAGAGGGAGCCCCTCCCACCCTTTGTCCTCCAGTGACTTGGGGGGAGGGGGAGCTATGTGTATGTGTCCCCAAAACAAGACACAAGTCGAGTTAGTAATGCTTTATTCTGGAATTGGGTGGACTCAGGGGCCTTGTCACTTTTCAGCCCCTTTCTCACTCTGCTGGTCCAGGATGAGCCTCTCCTGAACACTGAGCCATCCAAGCCTTTCTCTTGGCCCAGGGCTAGCATCTGGATAGCAAACCCTGGCCCCTGCTGTGTCCCAGAGGCTGGGGTGGAGGACAGAACAGACTCTCCCAATCCAGGTCCAGGGTGCCAGGCTGCTCACTGAGGCTGGGGGTCTTCCCTGTGGTCACTGCATTCTCCCTTCACCAGGCACAGCCGTGAGGGGCTGAAGGGCTGACTGGGGGGAGAGGTGGGGAACGGGTCCTGTCAGTGGCCTGTGGGCAGGAAGCTAGGGTTTCTTTCAGTCCCTTCACTCAGGGATACTTGACCTGATGGAGGTTTTGTTTCTCTACCCTGTGATCACACTTAAGCAGGGACTCCACCTTTTACAGTGGAGCTAGGCTGCCTGGTTTTGAATCCACCTCTGCCTCCATCTGACCCTGAAGAGGCAACTCCAGCTCTCCTTCCCCACATCTCTACAGAAGAGTGCAAGATGGCAGGCTGATTGGATGAGTTTAATTAAGTAGTACTGAGAACAGCCTGGCATTTGTTTTATAAAAGAGAATAAGCCTTTTTCCCTTGGAGGTAAACTTGAGTATTCTACTCCTGGCTTGGCCCTCCCTCCTTCTTCCCTGCTGCTGGCCAAACTCTGGCTTGCAGGGAACCTGCACCCCCCTTCCCCTCCCTAACTCTAGAGGATCCCTTGTTCTTTGGTGGAAGCCTCTTGGAGGCAGTAGCGGGAGTCCACTGACAGGGAAGGTCTGAGCTAGGTCTAACAGCTCTAGTCTGATCTTAGGGCACTTCCCCTCTGGAGACCTCGGGCTCATGTAACATGGAGATGTGTCTCACGGTTATTTTGCAGGGTGAACATCAGATCCCAGCCACATGCAAGAGTTTCAAACCCAGGTTCCCAATCCTGGCTGATTCCCCAGGGGAAAAGAAAGGGAGGCCTCCTTCCCGGGGCACACTTGGTATCCTCTTTGAACCCAACGCGCAGCTGGGAGGCTTGGTTTCTCCGGGCCAGGGGCTGCACTCACCGGGGGGTCAGGCTGGCCCGAGCTCAGGTGGGCATGCAGCAGAGCGGCCACCTCGTCCTGCTCAGCTTCCAGGGCAATGGCCAGGGCACTGGTGCCCTCCTGAGGGACAGTGGGGACAGTCAGGTCCGTGGACCAAGGCATGGGTACCCCGCCGTCCCGACGTCAACCCCATGGTGGCTCACATTGTCCAGGAGGGCTGGGTCGCAGCCTGGTTGGGCCAGCAGCAGCCGGACCGTGTCCAGGCGCCCGTACTCACTGGCACACATCAGCGCCGTGGCCCCATCCGCATCCTGGGCATTCACATCTGCCCCACATGCCAGCAGGGCCGCCACCATGTCCTGGCGGCCGTGGCTGATGGCCAGCATGAGGGCCGTCTGTCCTGTCTGGGGAGGAAGAAGGGGACAGGGCTGGGGAGGGCTCTGGAGAAAGAGCGGTCAGAGACAAACCCAAAGTAGAAGTGACTAGCAGACCGGGACCAGGGAAGAAATGTCCACGCACCTGGCTGGCCTTGGCGTTAACGTTGCCCATATGGAAGAGTCTCTGAACCACAGCCATGTCCTCTTCTCGCCCCACAGAGGTAAGTGCAGCCAGCATGAGGGCTGAGTAGCCAGCCCGATTCTGATGGTCAACCTCGCAGAGCCCTGGGAGAGTGGTGGTGGTGGTCAGTCAACCAAGAAGCCGGCACCCTCAGCCCAGCCTGGTTTACTTCCCCCACGACTCAGGTTTGCCATCAATGTAATGGGGGTGGTAACTGGATCATGAATTCACTGTTTCCTCTGCCTCCAAGGTGCTCCCAGCCGAGAGCCACGTGGCTCCCTCCCCTTCAGGGTTCTGCTCAAACCTGCTTATCGCAAGCTGGTTCAGAGACTTGGTTTTCTTTCATATCCCCCAGTACCTAGAACAAAACCTGCCACGTAGTACATCCTCAGTAAACCGAGGTTCCTATTTTTGTGGCTATCACCCACGAAGCCCCCATTATTGGCCCCCCACCCCCCCAGAGAACTAGGGCAACTTGGGGCACCTGGGTGGCCCAGTCAGTTAAGCATCCAACTCTGATTTTTGGCTCAGGTCGTGAGATCGAGCCCTATGTTAGGCTCTGTGCTGGGAGTGGAACTTGCTTAAGATTCTCCCTCTGCCTCTGTCCCTGCCCCCTCCCCCAAAACAAAGAAAGCTGTCAACTGGTCCACTCTGGTGCCCAAATCCACTCGTTTCCATGCAGCAGATAAGGAGAAACTTGGCCCAGCCACCTATTTAAAACCCTCCCACATCTCCCCATTGCTCCTGGAATACAGGCCATTGTCCACCATGGCTTCTGAGGCTGTTACCTAACTTAATGTCCCTTCCTTTGGAACCCTTTCTCTTCCAAGCCTGTGTTACAAATTGAGTTGTGCCCCCCCCCCCCCAAAAAAAGATACAAAGTCCTACCTATCCTGTGCCCATGAATGTGACCTTAACTGGAAATAGGGTCTTTGCAAATGTAATCAAAGTGAGGTCATTATGGTAGGCCCTATCCAGTGTGGCTGGTGTCCTTAGAAGAGACACAGACGGGCAGAAGACCATGTGAAGACAAAGGCAGAGAAGAGAAGCTGCCGTCAGCTACAGGACGCTAAAGATTGCAGGCAACCACCAGAAGCTAGGAGAAAGGCATGGAGCAGATTGCTTTGCTCTGAACTCCTAAGAAGGAACCAGGCCTGCCAACCTGGATTTTGGACTTTGGGCCTCCTGAACTACAAGAAAATGAATTTCCATTTTCTTAAGCCACCCACGTTGTGCTACTTTGTTACAGCAGCTCAAGGAAAGGAGCCCTGTGGTTACTGGCTGTTGCCTCTCCCTCAACAGCACCTACTCTGGGCTCGGTTACCAAAGTGACCGATGCTGTTGTCCCCCACTGTTTGGAAAGTTCCATGAGGCTACAAAAGGTTGGGGAGGGGCGCTTGGATCAGGGTCATGGCGTGGATGCCCTATAGAGAGGGACTCAGACAATGGACTGGGGAGAAAAAGGGTTAAGTAGTATCTAAAGGAAGAGGGCAGGTTTCCTAGTTGTGTGGCATGCCCTTAGGTGTTCACTGCTTCCACAAGCTTCTGTGACACTGGCGGAGTGTGCTGGGTGGGGAGAGGCGCACAGGAATAACCAGAGTCGGGTCTCTGCCGCCTGGCCAGGAAGCCCACCCAGCTGCCCCTAGCCTCTCCTTTCCCCTCCTCCCTGAGGCCTTCCTAAGCCAAAGGGTCACCTCAGTTCATTTCCTCCCCGAGTTATGTTTTGTGGTGGCCCTTATCCCTGTTTGTAATTGTTTCACATTTTTACTTGATAATTGTCCATCTCCACTCCCCCTCTCCCCACAAGGCACAGGCTCACAGCCATACCCTCATGAGAGCTTGCTCATTCATTCAACCATCACTGTGGCCCGTGCTGGGGCCTGCCATGCAAGCAGGGTGAAGTGAAGGAGCGCTGTGGGGAGGAGTTTGAAAGGGGACAGAAATGAGTAGTTAATGACGGAGGGTGAACAAGGAAGCAAGGGGGCCGGGGGGCGGGCAGTAAAATGGAGGCAGGGGGAGCAACAGACAATGGTCCTGTGAGGGTCAAGGGTTGTTAGGGCCAGGCGACCGGAGAGCCAAAATGTTGGGAGGTGAGAGAAGAGACGAGACTGTGGAGGGGGCATGGTTACAGTGACATCAAGATCTTGGGATGACTTTACAAGTGTAAGGCTGGGGGCACCTGGGTGGCTCAGTTGTTGGGCGTCTGCCTTCGGCTCGGGTCTTGACCCGAGCCCCACATCAGGCTCCCTGCTCTGCAGGAAGCCTGCTTCTCCCTTACCCACTCCCCCTGCTTGTGTTCCCTCTCTCGCTGTGTCTCTTTCTGTCAAATAAATAAAATCTTAAAAAAAAAAAAAAAAAGTGTAAGGCTGATGTAGGGCAGAGGCCAAGGTGACAGGAGGAGGGGGGTCAAGGAACTGAGAAGCCTGGAGGTGAGAGTGATGCTCCATAAGGATACTGAAACTGGTGAGGGTTCACGTGCAAAGAAGGAGAGCTGGCCCCGGGAGGGAAGAGTGATCTCAGTTTGGAGGGAGAAGCCAGAAGAGGCGGTGGAGGGAATAGGGGTCTGATCAATAAGAGGCTCCAAGGTAGGGCTGAGGAAGGGGAAAAGTTCTGGAGGTGGAGATGAGGGGCAAGGATACACAGCCGCACCCAGCCCCTGCGTGCCAGGGAGGTGAAAGGAAACAGCCCTTATGTGGGGAGTATATTAAGGACTCAGGGCCCTGGGTAGGGGGAGGGACATGGTAGCAAGTAGACGGGCAGAGGGAATGATCGATATGAGAACCAGAAAGCCCAGGGCAAGGTCTGGGGAGTTGGAGCCTGGGGGGTGGGGTGGGGGGTTGAATGCAAGGAATAAAAGGTATCCGTGAAGGCTTGGGCTTCTTGTGACTGACAGCCGTGCCTGTCTGCCCCAGTCCCCAGTCCCCTTTAAGGCAGGAGATGCCTTGAATCATGCATTGTCCCCTCCTCCCAAGCTTGAGCTCCTGGTCCAGCAGGTCACCAAGATCTTCAGGGATGGGACAGACCTGTGTGTTTGGGGGCAGTGGGGTCAGGGAGAGAACAGGGGGACCTGCCTTGGCCTGCAGTAAGACTGAGAAGCCTCCAAGGGCAGGCCCCAGCAGATACTGGACCTGAAGGATGACACCCAGGAGGGCTCTTGGTGGGCAGTTTGTCTACTGCCCACTGTCCCCTCTGCTGTGAGTCCCATGGGGAAAGTAGCTGTATGTGGGTGGCCCACCCCCACCCCAGCACCATACTAGTATCTAGTAGGTTTTTAATACATGTCTGTGGGCTCAGGAACACCTGGATGTGTGTATCTCAGCTCCAGAGGGGGAAAGTTGGGGCAGGAAATGAGCAAGCAAGTGGCAGGGGATAGAAACGTGTAAAATGGAGTCAATGCAGGATGTGGCGGTGGAGGACAGGGCACAGTGGGCCAGCCTGGGAGGGTGGTCAGAGCCCTGACCCGTGGGAGAGGCAGGTGGCTGGGTATTGGGGCCCAGGACTGAGGTGAGCATCAGGACTGGAGATTCAGGGACAATGCATGGTGACCACCGACTGGCCTCCTCCTGCGTGCCTGGTGCTATTCTACACCTGTTCTTACAGCTGCCCAGGGAGGGTGGTGGTGCATCCCCATTTCCCAGACGAGGAAGCTAAGGCTGGTGACACTAAGTAAGTCCTCTAAATTTAGCTCTACCTAACTTTAAAACCGGGGTATTCTGGCACCCTGCAAAGTGAGAGGCAGGTGTCAGGGTAGAGCTCAGAGTGGAGAGGTCTAAAGGCCCTTGGCAATCTGCCCAGGACACCAGGATCCTCTAACTCTGGAGGAAGGTGCTGACCGGTATCCAGCAGCAAGCTCGAGATGGTCAGGTTCCCGTGGGACACGGTGTAGTGCAGGGCTGTGTTGCCGTTGCCATCCGCCAGGTTCACCACGTGCGCCAGGAGCTCGGGTCCCAGGCGCGCCACCGCTCCCAGGACCCCAGCCACGGGCTCGGCTTGAGAGCGCCGCTGGCTGGACACTCGAAACCACTCCTGGGCCACTAGGCGCGCCGCGCCCTGCCGGGACCGGTGGAAAGACGTCAGAGATGGTCCGGATTGTGGTGGCAGGGAGGGTGTGGGGGCGGGGCTAGGAATCGAGGCGGGGGAGGATGGTCGCTGCTTGTCTCAGGGGGTCCGTGGGCCGCACCCTTTTGGAGGAGGGAGTACAGCCAGTGCGGGTCCCAGGCTCAAGCCAGCGGGGGTCCTCCCCTCTGGGAAAGAGCCTGTGGGAGAACCCAGAGTGGAGGAAGGCGGTGAGCGCTTGCCTTTGGGGAGTGTGGGGGTGGGCCTGGGGCTTGGGGCGCACCCTTTTGGGGGAAACAGGGAAAACTTCATTGCTATCCCTGGACGGAGATCCCTTTGGAGAGCCTGAGATCAGGGGATGTCTTGGCGCCAAGGGGTGGAACTTGGGACCGCCCCCCCCAACTCTACGAAATCCGATGGGTTCCCCTAGAAGGCGTCAGGGGAGGTCCCCGATGGGGCCCGCGACTCCATGTGTGAAGGGCTCTCGCTGGCACTCACGCCATCGCGGGCGATTCCGCGGGGCCGGCTCAGCTGCCGCTGCAGCGCTGCGCACGCCTCCTTCAAACGCGGGCTCAGCTCGCACCTATCAAGGTGGCCGAGAGAGGCTCAGGAGGGGTCTGAGGGGGAGGGGGTGCGCGGAGGACAGGAAGGAAAGCCCCCGTTCCCACTCCGTGTCCGTAACGCCGCTCACCTCCCCTGCGCACCAGGCTGAGGTTCTGCCTCCGGCTCCGGCTGGGGCTCGGGCTCGGGCTCGGGTTCGGGTTCGGGCTCGGGCTCGGGCTCGGGCTCGGGCTCGGGCTCAGGCTCAGGCTCGGGGTCCAGGGCATCCTTGCCACTGTCGTCCCCGACATCCCTGCCTCTGTCATACCCGGACAAGCTGCTCCTTGGAGGCTCGGCAGCACCGTCCTCGCTGCCGCTGTCGCTGTCACTGTCGCTATCGTCCTCGCTGGATGAGCTCTCGTACCTGGGGGCAGGGTGGGAGGCGGCCGCTGAGCCTGTGGGCTCATTCTTGCGTCCTGCGAGGTGGGAGTGGCTGTCCCCACTTTACAGAAGAAGAAACAGGCTTTCCAAGACCACACTGCGAGTCGGGGCAGAGCCAGGATTCAAACCCCAGTCTATGTCCCTGCAGATGCTGCCATGGGGAGGGGTAAAGTGCTCACTCTCCGTTGAGGACCCCAACAAACTGCAGGCTCTTGGGTCCTGGACTGGGCTGGGCTCCAGGTGTACCATCTCTCCTCTTCATGATGGATTTGAGGATGCCTGGTGGGTCAGATGAGGGTACTGAGTTCGAGTCCAGAAGCCATCAAGCCAGGGCTTAGGCAGGGGTTGAGACTCACCCGCAGGGGCCACGGCTCTGTCCCCATCCGTGGGTCCCGACGGGTTCTCCTGACTCAGGCTAGGGGCCTCGGCGAGGGCCTCGGTCTGTGTGGCCTTCGCAGCACAACCCCACGGGGTCTGAGTGGCAGCCTCGCGCGGCTGGGGCTGGGCCGCCGCAGCTGCCTCCTCCTCGGCAGCCTCGCGGGCCTCCTCCAGCTGGCGCAGCCGGCAGCGCAGGAGCTCGCTCACCCCGCGCTGGTGCTCCAGGCTGGCGCGGAGCAGCTCCAGCTCGCGCTCGGCGGCCTCGGGCAACCCCAACAGCGCCTCGGTCACCCACGCGTCCGACTCGAGGGTCTCGGGGGCAGCGTCTACGCCGGCCTCCCGGGTCTCCGGCATCGCCTGGGCCCTAGCGTCTTGGGTCTCGGGCACCGCCTGGACGCCAGCCTCCCGCGTCTGCGGCGCCCCGTCGGGGGTCCCGGTTCCGTCGGGGGTCCCGGTTCCGTCGGGGGCCTCGAGCGCGCCCTCACTGCGCCTAGAAGCCGGCCCGTCGGGGCCATCGGCCCAGACACTGGCCCTGGAGCGAACGCCGCGCTCGGAGGTGGCTAGGCGCTCGGTGAGGCGCCGCAGCTGGGCTAGCTTGTCGGGGCGCGCCTCGACCTCCCCGTCGGGCTCCGGCTGCCCGCGTCCAGCCAACAGCCGTGCCTTCTCCGCACGCAGCGCGCGCACCTGCTCCTGCAGTTCGGGCAGCGCGCGCGCCTGGTCCTCGAGCTCGCGCAGGCGCCGCAGAGCCGCGGCCATCTGCTCGCGCACCAGCTGCAATTGCGCGGGCCCGGGAGAGGCGGGGGCGGGGTTGGAGGCGGGGCTGGGGGCGGGGCTGCTGCGGCCAGATCCCCGCGGGCTGCGCGGGACGGCGCGGGCGGGGCTGGGCGCGCGCTCGTGCGCGTGCGCCTGCGCCAGCTCCAGCCGCCGGCTGGTTTCCAGGAGTGTGTGCTCGACGCGCGAGTTACGGATGGGCACGCGTGGCGACAGCGGCGGCAGCAGGAGCCCCGAGGGTGCGCCGGGGGAGAGTGCGCCCGATGCTCCCCCATCGTCACTGGCCAAGGATTCGCTGGAGGTCCAGGCGCCTGGGCTTCGCGCGCCAGCGAGGCCCGCCCGGGGTGCACGGGGGCGACGCGGGGGCGGGGGGCCCGGGGCGCGGCGGGGGGCGGGGCCCCGCTCCAGCTCCTCCACGTACTTGAGGAAGTCCAGGTCCAGGTGGAAGCCATACGGCGTCTCCACTGAGTAGGGCGAGCTCGGGCTGCGGGCGCCCGCGGTGGGGCCGGAGCCCAGGCAAGGACCGCCCAGGTCTGCAGGCATGACGGGGTGTTATGGGCGTCAGGCTGGGGGAGGGGGACGACCCGGGAGAAACTGGACAGATAGAGCTCGTCTCCCACCGCCGCACGACAGTCCTGCAGGGCTCCACCTGCACCAAACCCTGTACACATGCCACTGCGCACATGCATGCCCAAGGACCAAATGCCTATCTGCACCAAACAGTCAAGCAATCCCACCCACTTACTATGTGCCAAGCGCTTTTCTAGGCGCTGGGGACACATCGGTGAACAAGACAGGCAAACCCCTGTCCTCTTATAGGAGATAAATAAACATGATCATTCCAAAGGATGCTTAGGGCTAATAATAATAAGATGAAATACAGAATAACTGGAGAAGGTGTGTGACTTTGGCTCTAGTTGTCAGGGCAGGTTTCCTGTGGAAGGGACTTAAAAGTCGAGCACTGACATGACGAGGAGGAAGCAGTTGGGTACAGAAGGTTCCCGAAGGAAAACAAAGCAAAGGCCCTGGGATATAGTGAGCAGGGTGGGCAGGAGTTAACAGTGAGGTGGAGGTGAGGGTGCCCGAAACAGTGAAAGGACAGGAGTAGAAGAGGTGGCCTGGGGCCAGATCGAGGGGGGCCTCCCTGGGCCGCCGTGAGGAGTTGGGATTCTATTACACGTGTGATAGGGCACCATAAGCAGGGTTGAAGCAGGGCTGTGACATTATGCAATGGACCTTTAGAAATGGCTCTCTAGCCACATGCAAAGGAGGGAACCACGGGGCTGCGCCTATACGTGGGCACCAAGTATCAATCCATGCACACACATGTACCCCCACTTTGCACACTCACCGGGCAGGTTCTGATTCAGGGCAAACTTGGCCATGTTTTCTGAAGTAGCTGCAAGAAAAACCCTGGAAAATGTCCCCAGAGGGGGTGAGGATGGGACTGGCCCCATTCCTCTGGAGTCAGCCTGGACTCTAAGTAAGTAAACAGACTCCCATCCACCCTCCCACACACATAGGTCCTGTTCTCCCTGCTCCTTCAAGAGGCCTTGAAACTTTGGAATGAATGAATGTGGGCATCCCCGGGTTCAGGCCTCAGCCTGCTGGGGAGGAGGGGGCAGGAAGGGCATGAAGAGGAGAAGAGAGGAGAGTGATCAGAGAACATGAGTAGCTGGGTGTGGGGGCAGAGAAGGGTCATTCCAGACCTGCCGAGTTGTGTCAGTCCCAGGGCAAAATTAGAAATTAATGCTCAAAGGGATGAGGTGTGAACCTTCAGAAGAAGAAGGTGAGAGTTGGAAGCCCTTCATGGGCTCATGAGAAATTCATCTGGTCAGATTCTGCATATTAAAAAAAGAACAAACATAGGATTATTTGAATTCTTCTCTCCTTAGAGAAATGCAAACAAAATATAATTGTGCATCTGAGTTTTTACCAAGTCACTTGTGAGAGCCTTATGGGAATGATGGAGAGTTGTGGGCCAGATGCATCAAGGATGCAAATCAATGGATACCGACCTCCCTAGGATGTCTCTAGTGGAGTGCCGCGGTGTTCTGCTCCTGGCTTGTAAGAGTCTGTAATGGATGGGGCGCCTGGGTGGCTCAGTCGGTTAAGCGACTGCCTTCGGCTCAGGTCATGATCCTGGAGTCCCGGGATCGAGTCCCGCATGGGGCTCCCTGCTCGGCGAGGGGCCTGCTTCTCCCTCTGACCCTCCCCCCTCTCATGTACTCTCTCTCTCTCTCATTCTCGCTCTCTCAAATAAATAAATAAATCTTTAAAAAAAAAAAAAAAAGAGTCTGCAATGGAACCATAAGTACCCAGGTTGTCAGACCTGGGGCTATACATGGGGCTGGGAGGACTCTTCAGGAAACATGACGGAGGCTCTAAGAAACTGAGGGAGACTGGGCCACATCTCATGTAATAATTAACAAGGACAATCAGAAAGCACAGGGTAGGAAAGATGGGGCTTTGAAGAGCCCACATGAAAAACCTTCAAGGAGGGGAAAGCAGCTTGTCTTGAGTGCCTACTGTATGCTCCGCCTGATTAAATGCAACCCCCATACAATCCTGCAATGTAGATATTATCATTCACATTTTCCAGATGGCGAAACCAAGGCACAGAGCAAATAGGTCAGCTGTCTGTGGGAAATGCCCTCAGACTGGGCTCTGCCCATCTTCCAGGGACCCCTTGCCCGCCCAGCCTCACCATCAGGTGCCTGTCAGACCCATCTGTCCTCTCCCTGACCCCGTGCTCAATGTGCCAACCACCTGGCAACCTTTGTCATCACCCCCCTCCAGCCTCCTGCACTCCTGATGACCACCTCTGTGGCTAACACTCACCAGCCATTGAATACCCCCTGCTCCACTGCTTGGGGGACTTATGCCCTTAAAACCTCCCTCACCCCACCCCAAGGCAGACAGGGCCCCTTCCAGTCCTGCAGCAGCTGTTTCCTGCCCCCTCACACTGGCTGAGAGGGGCAGGCCAGGAGGGCAGCCACACAACTTGTTTTCAGGAAACTGCTAGGGAAGAGTTGTGTCCTGGAAAAAAACCTGGGCCGACTTAGAGGTCTGGGCCCTGGGATATAGTGAGCAGTGACACGTAGGGGGTCTGGGTCCCACAGCTGGCAGTGTGACTCAGTGGGCTCAGCCCCCTCCTCTGGTGACCTGGTCACACCCAAATTTGAGGCCCTGGGAACTTAAAAAAAAAAAACAGCTGTGGGCCATCCCTAAGACCCTAATCAGCTAGAGCAGCCAGACCCAGGCGCTGGGCTGAGTAATAATAACAACAACAATACTTTTGCCATTTACTATGGGTCCCCCTCTACTATAAGCAATTTATGGCTATTGACTTAAAAAAAGAAAAAATCCTAGCTAAACCCTCTGAGGGAAGTTTTCTTATCATTATCCTTTACCCCACTGCACAGATGGAGAAACTGAGACACAGAGAGATTAAGTGGCCCGTCCGAGGTCCCACATAGGCAGCGGCAGGATTTTAACCCAGGCGGTTTTGCCAGTGTTTCTGCATTGGCCACCCACTTGATGGCCTTCTAGAAGCAGCCCTCCCCTCCAGGGCAGGGGCAGAGAGCTGGAGGGGGTTCATCCCTCCCTGCCTGCATCCCTGCCTATCCCTGCGTGTTTCCCTAATGGGGGAAGAAGCAGGCCCACACCGCGGCGGCTCCAGGGTCTGCAGCCTCACCAGAATGGGGCGCGGCTGCCCTCCCCTCTTCTCCGCTCCCTGCGGGAGATGTCAACTAGATCGGATCCTCTGCCTGAGACCCCCTCATTAGGCCGTCAGAGCCGACGCCATACGCCCCCACTCCCGCCCCAGGATCTATTTCGGGACTCGGAGTTGTCATCAGGAAACCTGAAGGGTGGGGGACTCGGCGGGTAGTGTGGATCCCAGTCCTAGGGATAGGGGGTTCTTCCCGGCTTGAGGCCCCGAATGGTAGCACCCCCTACAGTTGGGGCGGGATTCTCAGACCCCTGACGTGGGGGTGGAGGCTGATGATGGTGGGAGGGGGAGATACTCAAGTACCTGCCACCCCCAACACACACACACACACACCCACCCACCCACCCCAGGAGGGCCTCGTAGAGACAGAGCAGTTTCCTGCAGGAAACGCCGCCGGGCGGTTCCATCCGCTACCCATTGTCTGCTGGCCCGGGGGCCGTCCGTCCCTCCCCTCAACACCGTTTCCGTATCACCCCCCACACCCAGGTCCAGAGGCTGGAACCAGGTCCCCAAGCTCTCAGGAGCGACTCTGGGAAAGTCCCGGAGTCGGTTGGGGCGCTAGGGGGCGAACAAGCCGACCACTTGGCTCCTAAGGGCGGGTGAAGGGCGATCTCACGAATCCAGAGTCCCCAGCTCTGCTCGCTGCCCACCTGGGGCTCCCAGTGTGGGAGGGGGTCCCAGCCAGAAGACACGAAGCCCGCCGCATCGCAGGGCACTGAGCCCGCAGAAAGGCAGGAGGCGCAGTACCCCTACCCTGTAAGTCCCCTAATGCCCCCCAGAACCCCCATCGGTGGCCCCGAAAACTGGCGCTTTACCTGAAGCCGCAGCCCCCGCCGCGCCCGCACCCGAGCCCGCCCCCTCGAAGCTCGGGGACGGGTTATCAAGGCCTCGACCCTAACTGATGGCCACGCCAGCCAACCAGCGCCCGCTGCTCTCCGAGCTGTCCAATGGTGACGGGGGTGGGCGGTACTGTCCCGGCCCGAGCGTGGGGCGGGGCTGGGGGCGGGGCCTGAAGTGACTGTCCCCGTGCGCCTGCTGGCAGGGAAGAATAGGTAGGGGGCGGGGGCGGGGGCGGGGGGGGGGACGGCCAAGTCCCGCCCAGCGCAGGACTAAGGAGCTTGGATTTGATCCACTGGACGCTAGGGAGCCATGGGAAGACAGCAAGAGACTAACCCGATGGGATTTGTGTGTTTGGAAGATCCTTCGGGTGGAAACTAGAAGGACTGATGCTCAAGTCTCAGTGTCTGGGTGAGGTACCAAGACCCTGGCTCTTTTCTACCACAGGATCTTTGCACAAGCTGTTCCAGCTTCCTGAACTGTTCTTCCCTGCTCATGTTCACATGGGCACCTTCTATTCTGGAGGGCTCGACCTGTGTGTTCCCACCCCTAAAGGCTTAATGTGGTCCCTCTCTGGTTTCTGTCTTTTCCCTTGCTCTGTTTTATTAACTTGAGAGCTACTTTCATTATCTGAAACAAAAAGAATCTCTGACATTTATTTGTTTACTTGCTTACCATCTGTCTCCCCCTCTAAAGTGTCAGCACCATAGGACAGGGAACTGATTGATTTTGGTCTCTGCTTCATCCAGGGTTTCTGGCACACAGTAGGTGCTTAATAAATGTTTGTTGAATGATTTTTTTTCTAGTATTAAAAAAAATTTTTTTAAGGAGGCTCCGTGCCCAATGTGGGGCTTGAACTCACAACCATGAGATCAAGAGTTGCATGTTCTACTGCAACCAGCCAGACGTCCCTGTTGAATGATTTTAAATTAGATTGAATTCTTTAACCCATCTCCTGATTCATTTAGCATTTATTGAGCACCTAATATACACCAGGCGCTGTGCAGGTCCCTGAGGGGTCACAGTTCCTGCCATCCTGGGCCACAAAGCTGAGAGGCAGAGATAGACTTTCAAGGTAAGGTTTATGGTAAGGGGGTGACAGGATGGGATGGGAGGGAAAGGGAGGGGCCGATCCCTGACTTTCAGGCTCCAGGGAGACAGCCAGTACTGGTGACACTTACAGAATTGTGCTCCAAATGGGATAAACTGCACATGCAAAGGAGAAGTACAAAGCTCCATAGATGGGGAGCTTATTGTATTTCTAGATTCATCTGTCTTGTTTGTCCCAGTGCCAGTCTGCTTTAACTACTATAGCTTTGGGATATGGCTCAATATCTGATACTCCTCTTTTTACAAAATTCCTGGGCTATTTCCATTGTCTTTTTTTTTCTTGCCTTTTTTTTTTCCCTGCCGATGTCAGTTGAGTTTCCCATAAAAACTCCACTGGAAATTTCAAAGTAGTTTTTATTGTAAAATAAAATACATACACACACAGAGTCAGATCCAGGAACCCACAGGAACCAAATGCATAGGTTTTGGAGGTACTGAAGAGGGCATTCCCAACCAGGGGTGATTTTATTCTTAGGGGACATCCAACAATATCTGGGAGACATTTTTGGATTGTCATGATGGGGTGGGGGAGAGCTGTTATTGTCATCTAGTGGGTGGAGGCCAGGGATGTTGCCAAACATCCTGCAATATGCAGGGCACACACACCCCCACCCCAACCAAGAACTATCTGGCCTGAATGTCCAAAGAGCTGAGTTTGAGAAACCCAGCTTGAAGGTGAGCATCATGATAACCCCCACCCAAGTCAAAATGTAGCGTGTCACCGGCGACCCCAGAAGTCCCTCCCTGCCCCACATCCCAAACCCAGTGACTCCTCACTCCACAAAGTAACCACTGTTGTGACTTTAAAAAAAAAAAAAAAACACCACAAGATTTTATTTATTTATTTGACAGAGAGAGACACAGGAAGAGAGGGAACACAAGCAGGGGGAGTGGGAGAGGGAGAAGCAGGCTTCCTGCTGAGCAGGGAGCCTGATGCGGGGCT